AGCGCCAGCTCTAGCGCCTATTATTGTGTGACCAGGGGCACCTTACTTAACTTATTTATGGCTCACTTTTCCTGTGTGCCAAGTGATAAATAAGGCGATGCTCCAGCATGTTTCAAGGACTGAAGTTAATGAAGGTTAAACACTTCCTGTTAACACTTACTAAGCACTTACTAATTTGCATCCATCATAAACCTTTTATTCTATTGAAATCCGTACTTCAATAGCAAAATTATAAATTAGGTATAAACCTTTTATTTTGGGGGGTTCTATTCCACTGTTTCAGAAAAAAATCAAATACTAGCCGTCTTCTCTGCTCACAACAAAATACTATGGTCATTCATCACTTTGACTTAAAGAAACCAACAAAGAGCCCAAAAGATGCCAATGCTCAAAGGCAGCCATTCTCCATGAACACTTGAAGACTTCACGTTTTATTTTTCTCTTGACAATTTCTCAATATATAAACATGAACAATTTTCCTCCAAAAATACCCTAGACCCCAGATTTCATTTTGACTTCATAGTGAGGGTCTGTCGAGTAGGAAATGGCAAGAAGGTTTCTTTCAACCTTTCTTCAAATGCATACTTTTTGCTTCTATGGTGCCAAATTCACCTGTCACTGTATGGAAAGAATGTGACACTCAGACATATATTTTCATTACGTGGTTCTACACAGCTCATGAATATATTACCAAACATTCAATTTGTGTGCAACGGTCCGGGTTAGCTAAGATGGATACAAAGATGAATAAAAATATTTATGCCTCAAAGAAACTCTAAGGCCAGACATAAATGTACACATAAACACATGCACATACACACACACACACACACACACACACCTACCTGTGCATTCACACACATAATAAAAAGTAAAAATTATAAGTAGGAAAAGAATAATATAATGTTTAGAATAAACTAGACAATATTACTCATTTTATAAGAAGTAAAATTAGATAATTATTAATAAAAATGGAACAAATTACGTTGTTTCTCTGTATCAGTAAGACAATTATTGGAGCAAATCTGCTATTTAAAGTATACACCAACATTGTTATAAACAAGATGTGCTTTCATGTGTGATTTTATTCATGGAACCTATCATTGTTTAGTGACTATAACATTTCTTATTGAGACAATAACAAATGTCTATGCTGACTACATAGTACTAAAGTACAGGCTGATTGTATTTTGGTTAAACTCCTACAAATCAATTACTATTATAATTAAAGCTTTTTTTCTAAGTCCAGATAATGTCTTCAAAGCATTTAGCTTTCAAGTTAATGAAAAAGTGAGGAAATGAGTATAAGTTACAAGGTGTTTGTTTGTTTGGAAGTGAACTCTGTGGGTAAAGCTACTGCATTTGAAATATACTATCAAAAAAAGTCATGCATGTTGTATGTTAATACAAAAAAGGGGAATGATCTAATATATCTATCTAAAAATAAAGAGGCCAAGTCAAAGCCAAAATCCAAAATTATCCTTATAACATATTCTTAGATATCAGTAATAGTGAATTATTTTGATGTACACAATTTGTCTATTATAATCAAGTAATTAATTCAGATTCAATTCAATAACTAATTTTATTATAATATTATAATAATTATAATATTACAATACTATTATAATTACTTTAATATATTTGGATGATCTTTACAGTTTAAAAGCACACGCATAACATTTTTTTCTTATTTGAAGATACAGAAAATTTCTGAAGATATTACTTTTTTGCTCCCTTTTAGAAAAGAAAACTACAGTTAATAATACTAAAAATTAACAGAAGTTTGGATCCAATAATCCATATCCTTTCTAATACTTTATATTATCTTTTACATATACCGTGGAGGGTGAGTATAGAGCACATCACCATGATTCTTATTAACTGAATAGTATTGCTCTTTTTAGTTTACAAAAGATAGACATTGGTCTTATCCCCTTTGACTGTGGCAGGCACCTTGTAAAAGAATAGGTTAAATTTCCCGAGAATTAAACAGTAGTAAAGAAAAGGGGGAGAGGCAAGACACCATTTGAACCAATTACAAGACAGCACTTGATCAGGGCTTTAGTTGATCAAAGGAGAATGAATCACATTCAGCTAGGAGAAACAGGAAAGTCAGCTTGGATTCCAAAGTTAATTAAGACAAATTGATACATAAAGCCAGATTGGAACTATGCATCTTTAAGTCAGGTCCTACTCAGGTTCTTTGAAAATCTTCTATACTTCCTTGGCCAGAAATTTTTCCACAGGGAAGAAAAGTATGGCTTTAGGAAAACATAAAAGTTAGGACATTTTTCACTGTGTAGAATTACAGTTGTCCACTCCCAACTCTCCATCCCGCTTTTTCTTGAGCTACCAATACCAGGTCTTGAAAAACAGGGCATTTTGACCAAGCATCATGGTGACCTGCAGTGAAGGGAAAAAAGATCAAATGATAAGTACAAAAAACAGTGAGGGGAGAAAGTAAAAAACCAGAGTGGCCAAATCCACTTTGCAGTTGAAAGATCAGCCATACTAAAGACAGCAGAATAGATCAGAAGATGTGACTAATGGCAGAAGGATTCCAAACTCTTCATTGTGGAAGTAGTCTGTCCATGAGAGCTTTTTCTCAGTGACTGCTGGTCATAGGCGTGTGGCTGGGTGAGCCTAGGTTAAAGATCTAGAACTACAGAGGACAGTGACACCTGAAAGGGACATGAGATGTATAAAACCTAACAATTTTAAGTAAGTGTTAAACTGGGGGTGTTTTAAGTCTATAGCTTTTTGCTTAATTTCTCTTCTTTTAACTCAGATACCAGGGTCATCTTCTGTAGAGTACACCTTTTTTCTCTTTAACTCAGTATTTCCTTTATGTATTTTGAATGATCATTTTCTGGATTTAGAAAAACATCTTGATTAAGTTTTACAGTTTCCACTGTATAGTCTTCATAGGACTGTCCATGCAAAAGTTACGTCAATGTCAGAGAAAAGAGAGGAATGTATGCCACCACGCATGCTGCCTGCCATCAGCACACTTGCACATGCATATGAAGATAAAAAATATAGCTTTAAAATCAGAATTTGCTTCTTCACATGAGTTTAGCTGTTATAAGGAGAAATAATGAATCTAATAAGATGATAGAAAAACACTCAAGAATATACGCAGTTCGAGTCCACACATGTGACTTAAATGACTTCTTCCCTAAAGCAAAAGACCACAAAGTTGGTCATTTTAAGATGTCCACAGTAATTTGTTTTAACCTTCATTAAATCAACCAATTCTTCTCCTCTTCTGAAACAGGGCCTCATCTCCGCAAGTTTTTTTGAAGATCAGTCCCTACAAAAGCCTCCTGTTCCATGCTTGTACTCGTTGTTATTGTTACGACTTCAACATATTCCCAGTGAATTCTACAACACATTTATGCAGTCCAGCATAGTTCATAAAATATTTCCCAAACATAAGCTTTGTAAATCTTCACAGCAGACCTCAGAGATAGGTATTATTATGAATATTTTCATGTAGATGAGAAAAGAATGACTTAATATGCTTAATGACCTAACCAAGTGGCAAAAAGCTTCAAACTCAGTGTTTGTAGCGCTACAGGTGAGTGATTGAACTAGCACTAGACTTCTGTACCCTAACAGCAAGGACAACCACACCCCATCCTAGTGCTTTATTTTCACTAAACTTTATTATTTGTAGAGTTAAAATATAAGTATGATTAAGTACACAGTTATTTACAGAAGTATTGATTATTATGATTTTAAACAGCTTACAGGAAAGGCTATCTGCTAATTTATACATTATATTTTTATCAGAGTTATCGACCTACTGAGTAGTTATACTTGAGGCTTTACGGTGATCAAAATGTGTTGATACTTGTTTTCCTTTTAACTCACATTATGAAAAAAATGAGACTATCCCAGGTTCCTTTGGCTCAATAAACTATCTTTATTGTCATAAAATATCAGTAAGTAAGCTCAAAATGTACAAAATGTAGCATCTTTTAAAACTCAAACAGTGCCATGATATCCTGATAAAACAACTCAACTTTCAAAATAGATATAAATACATAGGAATAAGTTAGAGAAAGGGAAACATAAGATGATCTCACTTATTCAGTATCTAGTCTTCCTTGATCCTTTCACAGGAGGCGAAAACCAACGACTAGGAAAAATAATTCTATGCCATCTGCATAATTGTTATTTGGGTGAGTTTGTATAAATGGAACACATAGTTTCTGACAAAGGAAACCCTGCAAATGCAGAAGGTGGCTTCACTTGTTGAGCACTTATTATTTGCAAGTCTCTGTGCTAACACTTTGAATATTGGCTCCAAATCTGAAAGTTGAAGAAGTAGTTTTTCTCATAGTACAAAAGAGAAAACTGAGGCACAAGGAAGGTGAATCATTTCAGCTTTGCATGGCATCACAAAACTACTAAATGCAGGTTGCCTGAACCAGGATTTATGTTCTTAACCATAGCATTTAAATACATCTGCCAACACAATGTAGACTTTAAAATTTCAAAGGATTGTCCTCGTATCATCTGAAAGAAAATATATCTATTTTTGTACCTCATTTTCAGTGACATTTTTTCACTTAGTTTTGAATGTGTCTATGAGATTTCTCCATCCCCTTTCCTTAAGTGAACAATTTTTATGTTATATATTATTTTTGCCCTTTGTTTTTTATGTTTTCCTTTGAGAGAGAATATCCTTCTTAGAAAGAACCTCATATAAAATATCAAGAAAGGTCAATCTTTATATGTAAATCATTATTTATGTACTACTACCATCTAGATTTCCTTATTTTTGCTAATTCTATTTTAAAATGATATATTTATATGTAGCTTTTCACAGACACACGATTAAATAAATTCAAATAAAAACATATTACCTTATGTTTTACATGCCTTTAGCAGTACCCAGACTTTACCCTTTCATGGACTGTTGTTTCATGGTTTATCCAAGTGACTCATGAACAACCCAAGGTAGTAGTCATTTGCTTTTTCCCCCCTAGAAGCTCAGAAGAAGCAATTGGAAGAGAGTATAGAGCTGATTCAAGATGAATGTGTGTCAGAGAATGCAGATCACTCTACAGAGGAGCCTGCTGAAGGAGGGCAAGATGCGGATGGAGAAGAGATGACTGATGGGATAGAGGAGGACTTCGATGAAGATGGGGGTCATGAGCTGGTAGGAACTAAATATTTGATGTCCACAATCCACCACTTAACAGCATTAGCATGTTAGCAACACATTCACTCTAAAACAAAGATTAAATCATTTGGGGCTTATTTTTTTCTTTTATAGAGATATTTAAGGAAACACCAGTATAGTGCTTTGCACATAATAAGTGCTCAATACATTTTTGCTGACTTAAAATATGAGAGTGCCAATGAATGAAAAATAAAAATACTATACATGTGATTACATATACCTGAAGTCCTAAACGAAAGGCTTTCTTTCACACATGCTATATAATAAAAAGAATCTTGCATTTGTTCAACCTAAATAAAACATGCTGGTGCAAAAGACCATTTTCTGGAAGATACATGGCTTTTCTCTTAAGAATTTCGCTCACTGACCGTAATTATCTGTACTAGATGTGTGGGCAACAGTTCTTTCTATAGCCTGCTAAATAAGATGACCCATTAGTGTGTGGTCAGCTACCATTTTCACTGCCTATGGTGATTGTTGTGACTTGGAAAGTTAGCCAAGACCTAATTCTTTATATGCTTGATTTTCCCAATGTTCCCATTGTACCGCTTATTTCCAGACATGGTTTCCTGAATAACCACACCAGGACTTCATAAATATATTGATATATTGATAAATATATGAGGCTATTTCTCACATTTTATCAAACATGAAATTAAATGTACTATGTCAAAGAAGTTGACTAATAGAAATGGGGTAAGGACAAGTCTGTGTGTGTGTGTGTGTGTGTGTGTGTGTGTGTGTTTATTTATTATGGGCAAGTTACATCAAACTTGGATTATCCCAGATTATATCAGATTTCAGTTTGTTTTAATACCTATTGTTATGTAATTTTGTGGTGATTATCATTACTTTTGGATGATAACAAATTTACCGATACATTGAAAGATAGCTTAATTTTACAGAACTTAACATTCCAGCTCTGTTTAACTTTCATGGCACATTTATTTAAACTTTTCAAATATGAGCTTTCAATATGCACCCCTATTTCTACAAAATTCTTTAATTTGACAGACTCAAGTAAAAGTTTTTAGAATTACAAAATATTGATTCCAGGAATCTATTGGAAAGCAACTAGGATTAAAGACAAACAAGCAAAACTTCAATTTAAAAACATGATTGCCTCCTTTCACTCTAAACTGCCTTCTGTTTCAACAATCCATTGTGACTGGCCTTCCAGAAGGAGTTTATTTTGCTATTTGTAATGATCACCACTCTGCTCTTGTTTTAATTTACTTCTCAGCAGAATTTTGCATAACTAGCCACTTCCTCTTTCTGATAGAAACTCTTGATTGACCAGTTGCTCATTCTCCATTTCTGGTGCTAGAACTATTCCCTCCATACTCCGAATTTAAATATTGGAGAGGCTCAGGGCTTTGTCATAGTCCACATTCTCTTTCTACACACTTTCTCAAGATGATTTTATCATATACCAGAGCTTTAAATATTATCTACAGGTCAAAAATTTCTAAATCTACATTTCTCTTTCCTAATGTATTCCTGGAACTCAGGAATCAAATACTCAGCTACCTATCACCACATAGATCTCCAATAAACAACTGAAGCTTCGAATGTCTGGCAACATTCTTGTTTGTTTTATTTTTTCCTGCTAGCTTATCCTTTCCAAGTCTTCCTTATTCTGGTAAATAGAATCAGCATCTAGATAGTTATTAAGCCCAAGAGACTAAGAATATTTTCAACCTTTGCTTCCTGTTAATTCTACCTCCAAATCATAGCCCAAAGCCAGTTGGAACTCCACTGCCAAACTCTAAGCCAAGCTACCATTCTTTTCTCTTTAGACTCTTCAATAACTTTGAACCTGGTTTTCTTGCTTCAGCTTCTTGCTTCAAGGAACCCAATCTGTACAGAAGGATTAAAATCTTCATAAAGTATATACCCGATAATGAATACCATTCCCTTGCCTAAAACCCTACAGTGATTTTCATGACACTTAGAATCAAAATTCCCAAGGGTATGAATGTAAATTATGATGGTGTTTGGTGAAAGATGACAGCAGAGAGAGAATTTGGTGAAGAGAAAGAGATAAAGTCCCAGTACTAAAGAGAAAGGAAATTGAAATGGAATGATATTAGCTGCCTTAGACATTCAGAATCTTTCACTGCAACTATTATAAATTTGAGAATTTAGTGGCAGATGTTTGAGAAAGGTCAAGTAAAAACTATAGCAGTTGATGATAACCTCTGGAGACTGAGAAGTGGTGGGAAGAATCACAGATTTGGAGAGAATGGAAAGGATTTGAGAGAACAAATATTGAAAACATACAAATTACTAATTTGGAAAATGTATAAAAATTGATAGTGTGGTTAGTCAGTTGATGTTAAAGTTCAAAAATTAATAAAATACTATTTTGCAAACTAGTCTACCAAGCTTACCTGGTAATAGTTAAAACTGATTATTTATTGTTTTTTTCATTCTGATAGTTTATGATTCATTGTGCTAAGGAGAGTCTAGGAATTGCATTCTTAAATTCCCAAATCATACTGATGCTGCTGTTGTGGTGCCCAAGCTTTGAGAACTCCTGTTAAGAAGTTATCCATCTGTCTAGCTGTGGGACTTTCTCCATTGGATTTTATCTGCTCTGGTGGAAGCATGGAGAAAGAAAACAGTTTCAGAGTTGGTTTCTTGTCAGACAAGTACAAAAGAAACAGTAAAATGAAGATATTACTAAAAGCAGTGGCTCACTAGAAGGCTCAAGGTTAATAGGGAAGGAAGGGGAAACAGGAGGGAGCTGAAAAGGAGAAAATAGGCACAAAAGGAATGATACCATATGCAAGTAGGGCCAGAGAAAGAAGAACTAAACAAATAAGAGAAAACCAAAAGTTGTACTTAGACACTAAGCTATTTCAAAGGTATGACAAATACTGGTGATGACATGATCCATAAGTGGTGATGGAGGTAGAATCAGAGCAAAGGTCATAGCAGATAAGTAACTCAAAACTGCAGAGGCTTGGATGCAAAATGGGTTATCTAAATGGGCAGAAATCTTCCAAGTATGGGATGAAAAGTAAAAGAATAAAACAGTCACCAAGTTGTCATAAAAGAGTTAGCAAAAGTCCCAGATCTGTCAGTATCCAATCTAATTGAATTACTGTAAACAGACACTTTCTTGGAGTCTCAACTTTCTTACCTGCCTATTACAAGGGTTAGATTTGAAACTTCTGAATGCCTCTGGTAAAGCGCGTACCCCAGGAGCAACATGTATCCCATGCAGCTCTGGGAATAAAACCAAACCAGTGTTTGAATTATGCTCCGAAGGCACAGAAAGTAACTGATCAGAGCTACTGCTGCCTCTTCCTTTACATTTGCTTAGAAAGCTTAAGAATTAAATCTTAAGTACACTATTTTGTTCTAAGAGTTGGAAAATAATGAATTTAGATGAGCTTATTAATTCATCCCTGAAATATAAATGGAAACTAGCGAGTCCCTTCTAGCGATTTACAAAAGTTCCCTGATCTAGTTTCCACTGTTTTTGACTTTCCAATCCACATGAAGGAAATCCTCTTGAATTTCCAAAAATTGGAAATAGAAGCACGAATCTCTTTTTGTCATAACAGAGATCATTATAGATTTGAAAAACAGTGACCCAATGATACTTATAGTACACAGTAGAAATAAAACAGTAGAGGTAGTATCCACAAGCTCAGATGCTGCTTAAGGCAAATGAGCGTGCAACTGTCAGAAAAGAGGAATTGGATCTGAAGCAAGAGGATTTCCAGAAAAATGAGCTGGCAGGACAGCTGTAGGAGGTAATGCCCTGTGATGCCCTCTTCAGCAATAAACCGAACACATGAGCACAGACTGTCCAAACAACATCTAGTTCTAAAAACCCACTTAATGACATTGACTTCCATGAAGCAATCTATGCAATAGGTTCTTGGGAACCTATTATGTGTGAACCAGGTGCTGCAAAACAATGTAAAAATAAAATGATTGCTTTATGTGTGGAATGAAATGTTTGAGAAAATGACTTCTTGTTTCAAGTAGCTTAATGTCTTATAGAAAGATGACTGATTTTCCTCCTGCATAAAAAATAGTCTTGGACTTGATAATTCATAAGGCTAAAATCTACAAGTCCATAGTAATCTACATGTATATATTTAATTAGTGCACCAAATTAGTGCATCAATTTGATTTTATTTAAAATTGAATTCTCAGGCCAGATGTGGTGGTGCATGCCTATAATCCCAGCACTAGGGAAGCTGAGGCAGGAGGATTGCTGCGAGCTCAAGGCCAGCCTGGCCTACATAATGAGTTCAAGGCCAGCCTAGAATAATCATTTGACAGGGTATCAAATAAATTAATTAATTAATTAAACTTGAATTCTCTATAATGATTTGCTATGGATATACTGTCAAACCATTACTATATCCTTATTTCTGAATGAAACTATTAACAAAGTTATTAATGGATTAGTAGATGAATGCACTGAGACTTGTGCTGTGGGACTAAAGAAAGAGAATCATATTTCTTCCCTCACAAGGGATGTGAACTCACTAAGACTACAGACCATAAAGATGAAGCAGGACATATACAGAGTAGTAACAACAGGGGAAATAACAGTTTACAAGTGAGGAATCACAGAGACTTGTATGGTCAATAAAGACTTCCAGGTAGAAGGACACTAGAACTTTACTTCAAAGGATGCTAAGTTAAAGAAATACCAAATGCTTACATCAAGGAAAAAATATTCAAATCATCCTTCATTGTCCTCAGATCACTTTATGGAAACCTAAAATGCTTTAGCTATTTTATATGATAGGTAGTTAGGTATGTAAGTATGTAAAGATAAGTGTTTTTAAATACATCTACTAGTAACTTTGCAAATGTTTACTTTTCAAGCTTTTTTATTCTCTTTATTCATATGCACCAAATTTGTGTCCTCCTTTACATAAAATAACATAATCCTAAGTAAAAGTAGTCTGTGGCATAATGGAAAATACTATAGAAAAACAAGT